GCTATAGCCCTCTTAGCCCCCCCTGGCTACGCCACTGAGACCGACTTTTCTCAATTTGAGAAAGCTGCATCTTTTTATTCCCACAATAATAAACCCAGGCATTCCTCAAGATGCAGTCAAACCCTTTTGCTTTTCAACTTATACATTTAATATTCTGATAAGCTTTCATCGTTCCATATTCCTGTTGATGACTAATGATGGTTAAGCTGTTTTACTTCTCTTTACAGGATTACTCACTCCTAGGCGTAGTCAGGATTCATATTCCACTCAACTCAATAACGAATCAATTCACCACCTATAATCTCTGCTACTATTCAAAGAAATCAATCAAAAATAATATTCTTTTTTTTATACAAAATTAGTGTCGTAACATGCTTATTTAATAAAAAAAATATGTGTATCACTTTCAGCTATGACTGTCACAGTGGCTGCTATAACTTATTACTTTATGTATTAATATATTTATATTTATTTATGCCTTATTTAATTAATCAATTTTCTTATTGAATCGCTATGCTTCTCTGTCTTATTCATCTAATTTTTATCACTTAAGCATATTCTTCTAGGTGTAATAGATGACAATAGGTGTTATAGAATTTTGAGAAAAAATACTAGCAATATAAATAATATAGATTACTTAGTTTGGTACTTAACCATGTTTTTAAAATACATATATTTCTGTAGTTTTGATGTTTCAGTATAACAATTTAATATGATATTGAATTCAACATTTCTATTACAGTGACATACAGAACGAAAGAGTTCATCCAAAACTTACTAATGACTTCCCCCGGGCATTTTCTATCGAATGGCTTATACCTTTTATTTATGTTTTTGGTTTAACTTATGAGCATTGAATGCTGATCCCAGAAGTACTAGACAGAAGTCACTATTAAGTTGCCTAACTATAGGTAATATAAAAATAAAAAATGAATWATCATTGAATTAATAACAAATAAATTACAAAATATTATATAATTTTGGAAATTTAAAGTTTATGGTGAAATGTGAAGCAATTATTTACAGCTTTAAGAATAAAAATGAAACGTAATTTACAACTTATATCAAACATAATATACAATATAAAACATAAAT